GTACTTCCAAGCCTTTTTAAAATTCAAACTCACGCGGATTTAAATCAAATGTGTTAGTAGGACAGTAGTCCTTAGAACAAAATGTTTTGAATTGTAAATAACGTTTAAGATTGTGAAAAAGCGTTAAATATTGGGTAACGTACCTTTAAAACGTTGAATGTAATTGGACCGCAAAAAGCTTTGTTTTAAAATTCAACACTGTTTTCTGATTTTTAATTTTCACGGTTTCGAGTTGTTCACTATTTCCTCCTGCAGTTGTAGATGTTTGTATTCCTTGGAACTCTTTTATTCACGGCATTTTCCTTTGTACATGGAGATCCAAAAATTGCACTTAAGCTTTTTCAAAACCAAATTAGTTGCTTTCAAAATGATGTCTCTTCAAATGCCTTAACTCAGAGTAAAATTCTCGTTATTTTGTCACATTCCCTTTTCAGTTTTCTATAAGCTTGAGGCCTTGCCTTTTGATAAGAGAGAACGACTTCCAAAAGATGCACTTCAACTGCAAGTAGAGGTGTATGACCCCGAGCATTCTTTAATTTTGTCAAGAGTGGGTTCATTGCAAATCATCAATTTTAAAACTTCTAGGAGTATACAGATTTTGGGAAAGTTCACTATACAAGCGACCGTGCGGGTATTCACAAAGTTTGTATTTCTCCCACGACGAATTTTGTGAATAAGAAAACCCAGGTGGTAGGTCTTAATACGCTCTATATTTGTTTAAGAAAGTCTTCCTTGATATCCAAAATATTGGAGCTGCCAACTACACAGCCGTAGCACTGGCAGAAAAGTACACGGTTATGCAACTGGAAATACGAAGAGCACTGGATAGCTTAGATCTTATTACTAGATGGCATGATTACATGGTCGTAAGTTCTATCCTCGTTCTTTGTTATTTGTCGTAACTCTTTAAATGTTGGTTCCTTAATGTAGCATGATGATTTTACGTGATGGTAAGATATTTGGTTCTTTGGGGTAGCGGTTTTTTCCCAGTAATTCATTTCAAAAAAATTTGTGTAGGTCAGCTTGCCATATATTCACAAATCCATGCTCTGCCCCATCGAACCGTCGCTTATAATACGCTCTCACTTGTTGAAAATATATGTGTGTACTACTCTATAAGTTCCATATCATTCAAATGTGTCGCTCTATAAGTTATTAGACGATGATATAGTATGTTCAATTTCCTCCACAATATGTAACTATCTATTTCAAGTCCACGGGTTATATTTTCGTATAAAATCGCAACCTTCGCATCTTCACGCAAATTTTGCAGTTTCATGGAACCCTAATGTAGGGCCAATATTTTGCTAGGTTCCTGAGCACCTGTGCCTG